ATATAATTAAGGAAATTGGGTATTCTTTTGCTGTACAGATACAGATCTTAAATGTGGTCAAGCATCAAAATAAACTGGGGGTGAAATTATTAACTATAGGTTTCTGGGCACCTCATAAAACTGAATCCTAATTTCTAGACATGGAACCTAGGAATCTGTATTTTTTTGGGGGGGTTACTGGGGATAGAACTCAGGACCTTGTGCTTTCAAGGCAGGCACTGGAACCAATGAGCTAAATCCCGGGCCCTAGGAATCTGTACTTTCAAAGGTCATTTATGATTGGAACCTCGTTTGTGGAAGGCACTAGAAAGTACTTAAGTAAAAGAGTGTATTCTTTGGAAAAAAAATCACAACTCAACACCAATTATCTCTTCACTTACTTGATATTAGCTGGCAACAAAGCTTTTAAATACTATGCGGTTTCATTGCCTGCATAGAGATTTTAGCTATTCTTTCAAAAATAAAGGTGCAAGTGTAAATATTAGCCACCGCGTGTACTCCTCCTGTGGATTCCCGTTCCAGCAATACTTTGAGAAGAGAGATGAGGTCACAGATCGGAATACTCCATCGAGCTTTCCTGAAATCTGCCCTGCTCTCACTTTCTCATACATGCCCTTCTCCTGTTTTCGGTACAGCAGATCCTCAGGACAAATTCCCAACATGGCACTTGAGTCCTGCGTGCCTTCCAATGTATCTCAGTAACATCCTATATATAGACTGTGATCCAACCAAGCACATCTACTCTCCGCGTCCAACTCCCATGTCCTTGCCTGCCTTCATGCGTGGCGCCAGCCACTGCCCAGCATGCCATGTGCTTCTTTCTCCACCAGCTGGGCAGACTCTTGTCTCTCTTACGGCTCCACTCAAACATCATCTCATCCAAAGACTCTTTCTCTGCCTCAGCTGGTGGAGCCAGTGCTTTGCCCACTGTGTCTCTGCTTGAGCATTAGCACACAACTATAATTATCGTGTTGGCCTCTCTCACTTCTATTCCCCAGGTTTTAGCACACTTTTGGCATGGAGTGGGGGCTTAGTTCATATTTATATAATGAGTTAATAATATTAGCTTTAATTTGGCCCATGACTAACATGGGCACAGTACTGTTCTACATACAGCTCATGTGATCCTTTTTCAGTTTAGCAAGTAGTAGTGAGTATTCACATTTGAAGTATCAGACAGTTAATCCTGGGACATATCAGAAGCTCATCGGAAGTCACACAGCTATTTGGTGGCAGATGCAGACTGAATACATTAGTTTTGTGCCCCTACAGATGGTGTTCATAAATGTTACCCCATAGTGCTTCCCTACAAGGCTGGCTTAGGCCATTTTCCGCTACAGAAACATAACAGATACCACAGACTGGGGAAATTGTAAACAAGAGAAATTTCTTTGGCTCATGGCTCTGGAGGGTGGGAAGTTCAAGAACATGGTACCAACATCTGGAGGGGCTTTTTGCTGCAGCATAGCTGGTAGAAGGTCAGGCAAGCTGCCTGAGACATAGAGGGACTTGGACCAAACTCGACCTTTTCATAAGGACACACTCTTGCAATAACCCAGTCCGACAATAATAGCATTAATCTGTTCATGAGGGCAGAGTCCTCTTGATCAAATCACCTTTCAAAAGCCCCTTCTTTTCATATTACTACAGTGGCGATTAAATTTTAACATGAGTTTTAGAGGAGACACTCAAATCATAGCAGCTTCGGGTTACACTTGATTGCTTATAGCAATTTTTCTTTGCTTTCTACTCAAACATCATCCTCACATCAAGAGAGGACCAACATTCTTTTCTAATTGTCAGAATGCTGCACAGCCCAATTCAAGCGCATGTGTCCATGTGCTGCACACACACCCACGCACATTTGTGAATGGCCCAGCACTCCCATATATGTCAGACTGTCCTAACTGGAATGCTTAGTTTGAAAAATGGAAAAAAAGCCCAGAGCAACTATTAACCACATCAAGGCAAAATCATCAAGTCACCAGAATAGAAAGAGCAGTCCCCCTTTCAATGAAAACCTTATAAAATTATCCTGAATTGCACGTGAATTTTAATGGGCCACAGCCACCCTTCTCCATTTCTATTTTATTTCTTGGACAAGAGAAAAATATATTATTTATGCATTAGGGTAGTTAGCATTTCCAACCACTAACACATGTCCTGTAAACAAATAATAATCTCATTTTTCTGTTGTGCAAGAGCCCTCTCTCGGGCGGCAGAGATGTACAACATACTGGTGTCCTGTTACTTTACCAGAGCTTCCGCGTTCGCTCACCACTCAGACTAAACAGCAACTCCTTGGATAATAATGCTATAATACTGACCTCAAAGATACTTCCAGAATTGTTTCTGCCCGTCTTCAGAAATAATCATATCAGTTTGTTCATAAGCAGAAATGTTCTGTGAGCTGAATATGCTGTCACACGTGGCTGACAAACATATAAATCAATCTGTGACCAGGGAGGGAACAATATATGTCTTGTGTTTCTAAAACATGATGGTTGGGATCACAGCTGTAAGATGTTGGACTATCATCAAGAGAACAATGTCAAACATTAAACTTCTGGATGATTTCCATAAAAATAACATTTTGTTTGGGGTCAGTAATTTTTATGCAACTTTGGAATGATTTTCGTTGACAATTTTTGAGGGTTGAACTTGAACACCTCCAGAAATGCTCCTCAAATGGAAATATTATGTAATCCAATCTTTGTGATTATCTCTTTCTGAAAACCAAATACAGCCCGTGAAAACCAGCATTTCCCTCTTTCAGTTTGTGCAGCTGTATAAGTTTAAATTATGCTACATATTCAGGAAGGTAAATTTACTCTTCAATTTTCTTTGTTTAGTTACTACATTCAACTCAGCTGTACAAGTGCTAAATCATTCAATCTAGCATGAAAAAGGCCATGGATGTCATCTTTGGAAATCTTACCAACACTTCAGTTTTAATTTCTAATGAGTACATTTGCATTCCTTGTTGGGAGTTGGTACAGGGATGCAACACAGCTCTATTCTTTTTAAATCCCCTGCCCTACCCCTCTCTTTACTCCCCCATCTCGAGTCCCTTCCTATTTGAAAAAGATCTATCTCCTTACTTCTTATTATCTTGTATTTTGCTTTTATTTAAAATTTAGGTTTCTCAAGTTTACCCTCCTTTATAGCAGAGTATTACCCAGTCAAAAAAGGGGCAAGTGAAATGAATAGATACGTCTCAGAAAAGGGATGTACAAATGGCCAATGAAAAACTATTCAACATTGCTGGGCCTCAGAGAAATGCAAATTAAAATAACTCTGAGATTCCATTTTAATCCAGAAAGAATGGCCATCATAAAAAAAAAAAAGAATGGCCATCATCAAGAAATCAAATAGTAACAAATGCTGGCAAGGCTGTGAGGGAAAAAGGAACCCTGCATTGTTGTTGAGAATGTAAACTAGTACAACCACGATGGAAATCAGTTGGAGATTCCTCAAAAAATTGAAATTAGCAATATTCTTTAAAATGAAAAGGATAATGGAATGGGCAAATCAGTGGATGAGTAGTTCACCTCAGAAATAGTTTTTTGTTTGTCCCTATATATCCCAAATAATTAGATATTTGCTTCACTCTGGTCTGAATTCTCAAAAGTGTCCTTCTAGAGTTCCAAACTGAGTAAAGTGTTATGCTGAGCTCAAGAAGTCAAGCTTTTAAAGTCATTGGAAAGTTTTATAAATATAGTCTCATGACAAGGGTAGTTGTGGCATAAAATCATTAATCCAAGGAGACTGCATTGGCCTAGTATCCCTTTGCCATATTAATAATTCTGCTCCCTGGGATTCTGTAACCAGAGCTCAAGAAGAAAATGAGCCAAACCACTGAATTCAATAGTTGCAGCCTGTTTCAGGACATGAAAATATTTTGGTTCTCTCAAGCAAATAATTTTTCCAAAATAATCTTGTCCAAATCACTTATTATAGACAAATTTCAGATTTAACAGGACTCAGTATATGGGAATACATACTTAGAATTTGCCCCACATTGAAGAATATAGTTGGTTCCTCAGTTTTATTCACTAAAATATCGATTTGAGCATAAATAATTTCTCATTGGGATACAGATGTTCATGAATGTTATTAAAATTATACCTTCAAAAATCACTTTCCACTGTTGATTATATACATAGAATGTTTACATAAGATCTACTTAAAGAAATAAAAACAATATTTCCAATTTAGTGTCAGCTCCAGTTCTTTAATCCAAGTACTCTTTTCCTAAAACCATCAGTGTTCTCTGTGTATGAGTCTGGACTAAATCTATGCTTCAACCCAGTTCAGTGTCAGGAGCTTCCATGGAATCTAGTATACATCTAATCAATATCTATTTATTTTACCAATAGAAACAAAAAGTCTTTACCCTCATAGCTCATACCATAAGATTATTGATAAGTTCTAGTCAATACCAATCTGTATAAAGAAACTAAAATGTAAATTAGTTTCAGTACACTAATATTTGTGTTAAAGTACAGCTATCCTGGTTTTCATCGTGAACTATTATTTCAATATTTGTTATGTGAACAAGTTCTCTGAGATGGCATGCAAATAACTCAACAGGTTGCAAATATGTAACTGGTACTTTGAAAAATTTGAATAAAAATGGTTTCTTAAATAGGATCCAGAAAAACACACATATTATTAAATTTTATACAGCAAGAAATGTATTCAAAACTTTCTATTAAGTATAATAAGCAAATACCATGTAAAATAAATCCCAAACTTACAGGAAGAGAATTTTTGAGGATTGAAACTACCATATATTAGTTGCCCCATTACATTATATATTCATTTCATGTTTGCATTGCTGGGCATATCACATGGACTTAATAAAAAGCACTTGAATGGGTGGCTTAAAGAGTACATATTTGGGATCTACGCATGCCATATACAATCTAAACTAAATTTAAGTCATCTTTAAAAAGAGCATAATTCAATATATTTAAAGGAGTGTCCTTTTGTTTTAGGAAAAAAAGGAAGAGAGAGGAAAAGAAAAAAACTGAATAAAGAAGAAAGCAAAGAAGCAGTTCCTGACAACAAAGGTCTGGAATCCAGCAGAGACACCCTGGAACAACGAGAAAACAAAGACAAACAGCAGCAGAAGAAGCGAAAAGTCCAAGATAAGCAACAGAAATCGGTATCAGTCAGCACTGTGCACTAAAGGGTCCCATGAGAGCAGTGTAGACCCTGTCACTGCTGTCACAACCAGATGCCCAGGAGAGGTGGTACAGCCATTAGGACCACAGACAGACGACACAGCAGTTATTCCCTGCCTAGGCAGCCTTCCAAATGGTTGTATATTCTTCGTGCAGGCATAGGTCACAGCAAAGAGCCAGACATTCAAAGAAGGGATACTTTCACCTGGCTATCTTATGTGCTTCTGTGCATTTTTAGAAGACAAGAAATTTTGTACAGAATTATCAATACACTATAAGCCATCATCAGCATAATGATGACCTCTGGAGAAGAAACATCTTTTCCCTATTAAAAAAATAATTTTCCAGCTATTGTTTTAAGAAGTGAAAGATAACGCTGCAAGTCCAAAGAGGCAGTATCCCTTCACAACAAACAGGAGACCCGGGAGAGGAACACCACTCCAAGGACAGTGTGGTTCTGTCGGGGGATCTGGAGAGCTCGAAGTTAGGGCCTGTGTTTGGAATCATTGGTTTTACCGTCACAGGAGCCACTGCATCCTAGAAGTGTTACGATGACTTCTGTCATTCTCATCCTATGCTTCTGCAAGAATCAGGAGAGTGCAGACCAGAGTTAAATATTCTGTGTGAGACTGGAGGACGGCAAAACGTGGAAGGGATCATACAGCTGGAGATCGCTTCTTGCTCCGCAAAGCTGTGAAGGGTCGTGATCCCTGGGACAGGTCTCCAATCTATGGCAGCGCTGGTGGGTCAGCCTCGGCTGCCCTTCGGACTACATAAGTGTAAACATGTGCCTGTAACTTTGTTCTAAAAACAGAATCATACTTATTAGGAGGAAATTCTGATTTAATAGAAAACAAAAAAATAGAGCCAGGAGAATATACTATGTTTGCAAAGTCTTGGGTTTCCTTTCTCTTTCAATGAGGGAAAAACAGTTTCCTTCCCTGCCTACTGGTCCACCTGGAACTAAAAGGAATACTACTTTCTAACAGGGTGTGTCTAGTACAGGAGAAAGCCACCAAAATAAATATATTTGTTAATGGTTTTTAAAGTTTGGTTCACTTTGTTTTATTGTTTGTTTTATTGGGGAATTTCTTCAATGTTTTTAGGGACTCAAGAATTAGAAAAGAGAAGTCTGCTAAATCAGAGAATGTGTGTCCTATATGATTCCGAACCTACAACATTTCTTAGTATGTTTGCCTTTTGAACCCACCTTTATCTGAGCCAACAGAGACTTATTGCTGGGTTATTAGGAGAAATGTATTCGACCTTTTTCTTATTTTAATCAACAAAAATCCTAGTTACAGACTCGTGGCCTACCTAATTGATTTCACTGCTCCCCCGATTGCCTAGAAATGAACGTCTTTTCTCATACGTTGGTTCCTCCTGCAACGTCAACATTTAGTCTTTTCTTCTCCATAGTTCCTCAGTCTGTGGATCTCTTTTGGAGTCAGAAGTCACCCTAGCTGAAGGCCTCTCCATGATTAACAGAGGACCTGGCCAGCCCTGTACAGGAGGAGGCAGCTCAGTACCCAGCGCAGAATCTCATGCCTCACCCTGAAGCCTTCCTGCTGTCACAGAAGGATGAGTAGCTGTTCTGTCCACCTCAAGTCCTAGCCCTTTCGAGATCACTGCTTTCTGAAGAATTTGCAATTAATATACCTTCTGCCCGTCTGTCTGTCTGTCTGGGCACCCTTTCTCCACCAACTGTACTGCCCATGTGGACTGCTTGGCTTAATTGATTTTCTCCCTCTCTTTTCCTTTTCCAAGATATAAAAACGTTAAATGATGTATTCCTCTTTTACTCCAGTGCCTCTTGTCTGCAGCACAGAAGTTTTTAAACTAACTTTGTTCACAACATGTCTAATTCTATCTTCAAGGAGAAGTACACTTCATTCCACAGAATTACATCAGGTGGAAGTGTGTGCCTGTGTTTTAGAACTTTGGGAGTTTCAGGAACCACCCTTGTCCTCAGTGTTATCCAGACAAGTATAAGTAGCCAAGCTATTTTGCACATCTTTCTATATTTGTCTCCATTCTTTCTACAGACATGAGGAAGGTCTATACCTGCATTCACAATACTGGGAAAGGGTTATATGAACCAGGACATAGAAATGATGACTATGTCTTCCCACGTGATCCTCTTGACCATGGCAGTGGATCTAAATCCTTGATGCACAAAACTTAAATACAAAGTTAAAGGGGCTGGGGATGTAGTTCAGCAGTGCCGCACCTGTCTGGCAAGCACAAGGTCCTGAGTTCTATTCCCTGGACTGGGAAAAAAAATACAAAGTTAAAATTGTTAAAGTACAAAGGATGTCAGGTCCAGTGATGTACTCCATAATCCCAGCACTCCAGGAGGCTGAGGCAAGATTTACAAGTTCGAGCCCAGCCTAGGCAACTGAGTGCCTTAGTTAGACCCTGTCTCTAATCAAAAGACAAAAAGGTCAGGAACATATATCAGCATGAAGGACCTGGGTTGAATCCCTGGTGTTTGCACACACACAGTACAAATAAAAAAGAAGGAAAAATTAATATTAATGGAGATTAATTCATACATTGGGTAAAATATAAAGGAAGTAAAAAGTAATATCGAGTTTAACTGTAATTCCCAACCCATTTGTAGTAAAGTGTTAAGCACATGGGATCATAGAATATTCAAACTAGTATCTTTGAGCAAAAACTCATCAACTTCTGGTACAGCTCCCACATAATCACAGAGGAAGGCTCTGTAGATGGTAACAGCAGTGGGTAAATTCTCAATACAAAGACAGGTCGGAGGGAGTGGACAGTATAAACTTGTCAGTGTCTGAAGCCCAGGACTCCAGATTCTGCTTTGTAATAGGAGAAGCTTCTGTTCTGTCATCGGATTTGGGCTCAGTTCCAGGTGTACAACCATTGATAGGTCACTTATCTGCTCTGCTGTGGTCCCAATTTCTCATGTCCAATAAGAAAGCGGGGGACCGGAGAAGATCTCTGGTCTCAAGCAAGGGAACTTCTGGCACTTCCTCCAGGCCAGGGTGATGCCCCTTAAAGTGTCCTCAATATCCACAGTGTCCTTAGGAAATTGTCTTAACCCTGGTTTCCCAAAAGTGGAAATGCATAGGCTGTCAAAGCATACAGATTTAACTCTGCTGCTCTGCTGCAATTGAATTAAAAGTGGTTCACATTAGTGGGTATTAAAATATCACAATGTATAACATAAGGAAGAAAAAGTATGTATAAATGTAGCTAATGCTAAGATAGACTGATCCTCTCCAAGGGAGATGGGAAAGAAAGCAGAGTACTCTGTACATAGAGTTAGACAGCCTATGTTATCCTGGAGTTCTGCTACTAACTGGCTGTAACTTGTGTGGGCTTGGGCAAGTTGTATTGTCTCTCAGAGCTTCCATTCCTCATCTGCGAATGGAAGTGGCAACGTCTCCCAGAAGGTTGTAATGATAAGTACAAGGTTCATCACCTATATAATAACTCCTGTCAACAAATAGGTATCAATAAAAAGTAATGACTAATTCCACCTCAAACCTATAAGTCAGTTTTATTTCTTGATTAATGATATGCAGTAGTATCCATAAAAAAGGATATGTGTAATAATTTCAATGAAATGAGTAATGGTAACCACAGGTAAATACTAATTTACAGTATGTCTTGGATCTGCTTAAAATTAAGGGATTACTTATTCTTAAGAGTACATACTTCTTATAAATTGGCATAGAATCCACCTTTCTTTTCCCATGGCTATATTTTAATAGCAAAGGAACTGACTAGATCCTTAAGACACTATTTCCAAGCAGTCAGGGAAGAAAGCCTACTTTCCAAGTTACATGGAGTTTGTGCCCCATTTCAAGAAGGAGATTCAATAAAACTGCTGGTAATTAATTGATAAATTGATAATTTTCCCATTTTAAGCAATAACTTCATCTCACTTAGTAAATTATAGTCATTATTTAAAAAATGAAAACAAATGGCTGAATTTCCTCTATGTTAGACAATTGCTCTTTGACTAAATATATTACATAATTATGCCAAAAGGCCTTTGAGGGAGTTACCGATATCCTTGTTTTACCAATGAAGAAGCTGAAGGACCGAAAAATGCCCAAAGCCACACATCCAGCAACCAGTGAGCCTGACAGACATACTCTGCTATGGCCAATCCTAAATCTTATTTTTTCTCCCTTTCATCATACCCCTTAAAATCCTTTTTATTTTTAGTTCAAAGATTATTCATGATGTGGAATATTAAAATGCTTTTCTGTGATCTGAATTAGTACCTTATGAAAAAGCCCAAGAAACCACATCTTAGAGGACTCAACCCAGAATAGGACTTAACACCAAACCTGAGGTCAAAATGTGACTCTGCGTGTGTGTGTGTGTATATGTGTGTGTGTGTGTGTGTGTATGTGCGTAAGCTTGTGGTGCTAGGAGCTTATGGACTAGTTGGGGGAGCACTGCATGGGAGAAGAAAGTATGTTGGAGGCAAGCAGAATGAAAAGGAGAAAGAAGAATGATGTGTTATCAAAGGAAGGTTAAAGTTCACACTGAAGGGGAATAGCGGATCTGACTGGGAAATCCTGGATTTCTGCAGCCCTGAATGACTGAAGAGCCCTCAATTCTGTTATCTTCCAGTGTGCGAACAGAGCGTGTACCAGCCCTGCCATCTCTTCCCTGAAGCCCTACTCAGCACTGCAGTGAACAAACAGGCCACCCTCACTGTTGGGACAGCTGAGCCAACTTCCTTCACGTGATGTCTCACGTTCTCTAGCTACTTTTAGACACGCACTAACAAGATTTTGATTGTCACACACCTGTTCTGCCTGTCTTACACTGAAATAATGCAGAGGCTGACATATCAATCATATAAATAGAAAAAAATTAAGGAAAGGAAAAAAAAGAAAGGATAAGAAGGGAGTAGAAAGAAGGAAGGAGGGGCCGGGAATTTAGCTCAGTGGTTTCGCCGCCTGCTGTGCAGGCGCAAGGACCCAAGTTCAATCCCCAGTACCAAAAAAAAAAAAGAAAGAAAGAAGGAAGGAGAGAGAAAGCAAAAAATAGAAGCTACTTGTATTAATAGTCATTAAAATATGTTTGTAAGAGAATCTGAAGTATAAGGAATATTCCATAAACTGGAAAACAGCATGAAAATAGCAGGAAACTAAATTACATGACTATAAAATAATCTGACATTTCAGCAGTTTGTAAAATATCTTATACTTCTATATCTATAGCTCTGCAATGAAAATTGTTCCAAATGATGATATGTATCTTGGATTATATTGAATTATATATATTGAATCTTCCACTAAACATTACGTTTTACCTTTAAACATACAGAACTGGCAAACACATTGGAAAAGTTTATAAACAAAGATGAATACTAATCTTAATTACCCAATTTTCTGGCTAATTGGGGTTCAACTGATGAATTACTTTCCATGTTTTTAAAATCAGTCACTATTTTAGCTATGCTTCAATTCCATCACATGTAGATTTCAGGTAAGAGATTGTTTTACATTGATTTAAAAGTTCATGGAAAACTTTACTACCTTTACAGTAAAATCTAAAGTAATCCAGGACATTGTGAGTGCTTTGAAACTGTAGCACATAATAAACACGTGAGCTAGGATCCTTTCTGATTCTTCAAGCCGCAGCCTCTGCTTCCCATTTCTCACAATACAGTCCTCCCTGGAAACTCCAGTCTTAGAGGAAATCATGCATTTACTCCCCACAAAGGAGTCAAGGAAGAACTGATACCTGAGATGACTATTTTAAAATGCAGTAGTGCAGCCTTTCCTTCTGCTGTATTTTTTCTATAGTTGCCGGCACTGGAGCTATATCCAAGGCCTCCCCAGAAGCATGATTTTACCTTATATGTAAGGTAACACCCAAACACAATAAAATCAGTCACTACTAACCCTTGAATAATGACCAGAAATATTTCCGAGGCAATGAACATTACCATACATGATCCCAGACCGGGCACCAGGGAGGCTGACTGTAAAGCCTCTGAGAGGCAGGAAATTCGGCAGTGGCACAGGCAATCATCTACCCATCATTATAGCGACTCCATCAAAACCACGTACAGCTTGTTCCCAGAATGCAATGCCAAAGACCAGAGCACAGTGCCCCAGGGCACCCTGGGTCCCGGGGAGTAGTAGATTCATCCTGACCTTTGACTTCTTCACCTGCAGTGGTTCTGTACTTTGCTTGTGTTTCTTGGTTGACCAATTGGGGAAGGAAAAAAAACTACCTCATGATTTAAAAGTCATAGGAGTAAATTAGGTAAGAAATAATTTAGTAAATTTCTCTCCACTTAATAAAGAAGAATTTTATTTGCACTTCTTAAAGCACTCACTCAATAAAACAAGACAAAACTAGAAAAACAAAAATAAAAACATTTGGCATTTAATGTCCAAGGGATTGTCCTCATGTGGTAAACATTTAGAAGGAGGCCCTGTTTATCACTAGGCCATCCCTGCTCATCTTTTTCCCATAGTAAAAAATGGTTATGAGTCACTCTAGAACACATCAAATGCTCCAGCAAAATAGATTTGAGTTTGATCAAAACCAGCAGTGGGGATAATTTATGATTCCAAATAAGATATCGTCAAGCAGAGGCACTTTAGGAAAGTGAGTCAGTTGCATGCAAATTAGTTCTAGCTGCCTTTCTTGCCAGTTTCCTTTTAGATGTTTGCGTTTCGGGGTGGTGGGAGGAGAATGCGTTTCTATAGTAAAATATGAATTATTGTTGACTGGAATGTTTAAAGCACAGCTCAATGTACGCATGTGAAGGGTTTAGAGCAGAGGTGGAGAACATGCAGCCTATGAGCTGCAGCCAGGTGTTTTTTCATCACTGAAAGCTCTAAAAGGTTTGCCATCACTGGTTGAGAGGGTAGGGCTTAATTACATAGATGGTCCAGTCAAATCCAAGATGGTATTAGTTACAGAAAGGGGGAGATCATTAAAACATCCTGTTCTAGCATCTGTAGATTTCCCAAATTTGCTATGAAAATTAGCCTTTCCCTAATCATCAAAATAAACTGGTCGTAGACATGCTCATAGCCCGACCAACTGGAAGTTTAGAGCCTGCATTAGTTTTCTTTCTTTGGTACCGGGGATGGAACTTGGGTCCTTGTGCTTGTGAGACAAGCGGCGGAACCACTGAGCTAAATCCCCGGTCCTGCATTAATTTTCTTGCCTCCACCCTTTTCATCTCTCCAAAATAGAGACAATCGATTAGCTAACAGATAAATGAAGGTACATTAGCAAACTATAAGGAGAAGTTAATTCGTCACAAAGCGACAGTATGATATGAATTATTATATAATTATGTTATTATTACATAAAGCGTCATGTTTAATGGAGAATCTTTGGGCTATGGAAACAAACCCGGTCGGCAGATGCACTCCCCATCGCCTCATGAAACATTCTTTAAATAAATAGATGACCAATAAAGCTACAGATGAATCGACCCGAACTGTGGACTTTGCTATTCTTAAGGAACGGTTAATTATTTCCAGGGTTGCGAGGTGCTGGTAGCGCTCTCAAGCTAGATTTAAACACCTTCATACACTTAGGCTACACAGTATTGCAAGCAGTTTGATCAGGTAGGTCTTGACACAGGTCAAAGTCTTGTGTTATTTTGTTATAACAAGCCTGGTAAATGATGCTTTCCAGTCTGCGAAAATGATGTGAAAACATATTGCTTTTATATTCCTATAATTTTGTAAGTTTTTAGACTCATCTCCCCTGCCAAAATAAGAAAAATAGAAAATGTGAAAATACACATGGTTTAGTTATAAGTTTGAAAGATTTCTTTTTCTATAACAACAGTCAGAAATAAATTATTAGACTGGCCCAGAAAATTAAGGCTTTGATCTGCTACTGCAGCGATGTTCCCAACGTCCACAGAAAATAAACTCGTCTTGGAGGAGCATTTCAACCGGAGAAGCACTCAGTTATAACGGCTAGCTGCGTGTAAAGTGTTAGTAAGAGTCTCTTACAAGAGGTGAGGTTATTTCAGTTCCTAAAAGGAACAGCGGCAGGTGGGCCGGCCTTGCTTGTGTCACGTGACCAACACGCACTATTAAGCGTGAACTGCAAAGAGAACCTCAGAAAACATAGTCCTTTCAAAGTCGCGTCTTAAAGCATGGGAAGAAAGAAATGCTAAAAAGGAGAAAATACCTAAAAGAGGAATTCCTTATACATCTTAATTTGCAGACAAATCTTCCATTTTCCTGCACTTGTGGTTTTCAAAGATGTCACTTTGTCCTACGGGAAAATGGTCCTCAGTGCTTCCCCAGCCGCCGCTGGCTCGCCTGCTGCCCACTTCTGTTTTGTAATGTCCTTGGCCTGGTCTCCCAAGAACTGGATTCCCAAACTCAAAAAGCACACTAAAAATCTAAGTACACTCTGAGGACCTCACCAAAGCAGAAGTAAGGAAAAACAACTTTGAAAAGACATTGCTGCTTTATGTTGCGAAACAATCTCTGGAAATAAACGCTGTTTAACATTACCTACATGATACTGA